GTAGAACGTTGGGAAAACATACGGAGGATGGAGGTATAGTGGCGTGCTCTGGAAGAGGAGTCAGAGAAGGGAAATTCTTAAGGGGAGAAGGGTCGTGTCCTTCAAGAATACCTCCCCCCCCCCCTCCCCCCAGAGCAGGACATACCCTGATCATAATGGTGCCAACAAAACTGGGGTGGTCTAGACTTCCACAGGCATGAAAAATAGCTTGAATGTGGGCCGGAACGATGTGTCATCACTGGAAGTCGGAGAAAAAAGGACTGTGGTACCAGTTAATTAATCCTAAATGTAAGAAGAACGGATAAAATCGGGCCCTACTCCTGTTGTCAAACGTCCCAAGATTTTTGGCCGAAGTCGCAAGGTTAAGAAATTTCGCGAACGGAAATAGCGAAACCGCGCAGCGCCAAATCCATATTACCCTTAATGGGCGCAGTTCGGCGACGAAGGAGAGGGGGCAGTCTACGGACAACGCCTAGAGCTTTCCGCGTTGCCTAGTTCCCAGTTGATTGATGACATGCTACTGGAACACCACAATACGAAGGAACAGCATTACTCAGTGAAAGTATTCTATATTAATCCGCTCACCATAAGTTTTCTGGTTGTTTGTAAAGCGGCGTCGTGAAATCGCGATCACGCGCGATGATACACTGTGTGATTAGGCTTGTTCACAGTCTGCGACCCTAACGAAACGGCGGTTCGGCGAAAAGCAGTAAATGCATATTGATTGGAGAACGCCGAACGCTCAGGAAAAAAGTCACCGCTATTCGGCGAAAAGCAATACCTGCGTATCGATTTCGCTGGCCCGCCCCAGAGAAAAACGCCAGGGCGGTCGAGCTAGCGTTTTTCGACCAACCGCTTCGCCGAACCACCCGTCGATACGTACTACGTAACCGCAATTCGCCGAACCGTAAACGATACGTATTTAAAGCCTTTCGCCGAAGCGTTTCTTTCGAGAGAAACGCAGGGTCATAGGCTGTGAACAATGCCTTAGGTAGATCTCACCCTCCTGCTACCATATACTCCCTAAAAACATTAGTGGCCGGCACCAGTCGATATTCATCTGTATTGGAGCGCCATTGCAATGGTAGCGCGATATGCGCGGCGATGAGATCGACCACCGCCAAGTATGAACGTTGCCTTACCCATAGAAAGTTCATGATGTGA